AGCCTGCCTCAGCTTCAGCCTCAGCCTCAGCCTGCCTCGGCTTGCCTCAGACATCAACATACAATCACCACAGGAATCGCTTAGAAACTCTCTTTCTAATTAGCGCAAGCAGCTAATTAAGGAGAACAGCCCTGTTTGTCTTAATTAGCGCAAACACCTCATTAGAGCAGATTGGACCCTCAAGACTCGGCACCCCCCTCCCTGGCACCCTTCCAGTCTTCCTTTGCATCCGAGTCCTGACCGAACTGATCTGGATCTTAGGCTCGAGCTGCCTGAACACATGATAGCTGCCGCAGAGCTAATTGACAGGGGGACACGCCAGGAGGACGCGCCGCGAAACGTCCCAAGGAACGCGCCAGGCGACGTGCCAGGGGACGTGCCATGGGGACGCACCGCGGGACGTGCCAAGGGGACGCGCTACGGAACGTGCCAATGGATGTGCCACGTAATGTGCCAGGGGACGCGCCACGTGACGTGCCAGGGGGACTCGCCAAGGGACGCCCCACGGAACGTGCCAAGGAACGTGCCAGGTTGCAATGCTGATTGTATCGATCTTGATGGACCGTGCCGAAGTCTGTGCTGTGCTGCACCGTGCTGAATTGCGATGTGCCATGCTGCGGTTGTGCTCTATAGCGTCGTAGATCGACTCCTCCTTTGCATCCGAGTCCCGACCGAACTGATCTGAATCTTAAGCTCGAGCTGCCTGAACACATAGTATCTGCAGCAGAGCTAATTGACAGGGGACATGCCAGGAGGACGCGCCGCGGAACGTCTCAAGGGACGCGCCAGGCGACATGCCAGGGGACGTGCCATGGGGACGCACCGCGGGACCTGCCAAGGGGACGCGCTACGGAACGTGCTGGGGACAAGCGTTTCGCTCGAGACATCGTGTCAAAATCCTCATTCTAGACATCCGCCTGAGCGACCTGGACACGTGAAAACAAACGTTTCGCTCAACACATCCTCAACACATTCTCATGCTAGCCATCCGCCTGGGCGAACTGGACACGTGAAAACAAGTAGTTCGCTCGAGACATCCTCAACACATCTTCATGTGAGACGTCCGCCTGGGTGACCTGGGCACGTGAAAACAAGCGTTTCGCTCGAGACGTTTTCAACACCTCCTCATTCTAGACATCCGCCTTGGCGACCTGTACACGTGAAAGCAAACGTCTCGCTCGAGACATCCTCAACACATCTTCATGTTAGACATCCGCCTGGGCGACCTGGACACGTGAAAACAAGCGTATCTCTCGAGACAGTCGCAACACATCCTCATGCTAGGCATCCACCTGGGCAACCTGGACACGTGCAAACAAGCATCTCGATCGAAACTTCCTCAACACCTCCTCACTCCAGACATCCGCCTGGGCGACGAGGACACGTGAAACCAAGCGTCTCGCTCGAGACATCCTCAACAAATCCTGGCGCTTGACCTCTGCCTGGGCAACCTGGAACCGTGAAACCAAGCGTCTCGCTCGAGACATCCTCAATACCTGGGCACGTGAAACCAAGCATTTCATTTGAGAGATCCTCTAAAGTCTGGTCCCCAGGAGAAGACAATCGATAACACAAAACAAGCGTTTCGCTGGAGACATCCTCAACAAATTCTGAAAAAGCAAGCGTTCCGCTCCAGACATCCTCAACATTTTAATTCGCCGGCCCTGCGCGACCTCGCTATTTATCGCAACAGAAATTCGCTGGCCCTACAGCCGTCAGATCCGAGGGTAAACAGCTAAAAGAACACCCTGGGCCTACGCCCTTTCCGGAAAGAAAAAAAAAACATGATCGACCCACGAACCCGGAAAGGAATATAGAAATGTAACGCATGGCAACGTTTTCAAAGACACCTGACTGGGTGACGGGCAAGTGCAATGCTGATTGTATCGATCTTGATGTACCGTGCCGAGGGCTGTGCTGTGCAGCGCTGTGCTGAATTGCGATGTGCCATGCCACGATTGTGCTCTATAGCGTTGTGAATCGACTCCTCCTTTGCATCCGAGTCCTGACCGAACTGATCTGGATCTTGAGCTTGAGCTGCCTGACCACATAACTTGTAGCTGCCCCAGAGCTACTTGACAGGGGAACATGCCAGGAGGACGCGCCGTGGAACGTCCCAAGGGACGCGCCAGGCGACGTGCCAAGGGACGTGCCATGAAGACGCACCGCGGGACGTGCCAAGGGGACGCGCTACGGGACATCCTCAAAATCCCTGCGCGCGGGACGTGGCACGCGCAAGACATCCCCGGAACTCCTGCGAGCGGGACGTGAAAACAAACATTTCGCCTGAGACATCCTCTGAATTCTGGCCCCCCACGAGGCCCCCGCTCGAGACATCCCCCAAGTTTGCAAAACCAGCGTTTCGCTCGAGACATCCTCAACAAATTATAATAAAACAAGCGCTTCGCTCGAGACATCCGGTCAAAGCCAAGGACATCCTAGCAAAACAAACAAATTAGTCGAGACATCCTCAAAATTCCTGCGCGCGGGACGCGGCACGCGCGAGACATCCTTGGAATTCCTGCAAGCGGGACACGAAAACAATCATTTCGCCTGAGACATCCTCTGAATTCTGGCCCCCCGCGAAGCCCCCGCTCGAGACATCCCCAAATTCTGCAAAACCAGCGTTTCCCTCGAGACATCCTCAACAAACTATGAAAAACCAGCGTTTCGCTCGAGAAATCCGGTCAAAATTCTAAGAAATCCTGACAAAACAAGCGAATTAGTCGAGACATCCTCGAAATTCCTGCGCGCGGGACGCGACACGCGCGAGACATCCTCGGAATTCCTGCGCGCGGTGCGCTTTTCCGCGTCGCGGTCGGGGCCCCAGACCCCGTTATTTGTCGAGGATTTTGCGAAAAACGCTCCGCACCTTTTTTTTACGACGGAAAACGGGGGTCTGCGGACCCCGTTTTTTTTATATCGAGGATCCGAGATGGGGGGCGCACTTTCCTCGAGCGGGCACGCACGAAACGCACTTTTTCAAAACATGATGGACCCACGAACCCGGAAAGGGATATAGACATGTGGAGCATGGGCACGTTTTCACGATACCCAACTGGGCAACACCTCACGAAACATCCCACGAGACACTTCACGAAACATCCCACGAGACACCTCACGAAACATTCCACGAGACACCTCACGAAACATTCCACGAGACACCCCGCGAAACATTCCACGAGACACCCCACGAAACATTCCACGACGACAGGCAACCACTCAACCAAGGCGGTGTGGTCGTGCTGGGGAGTGGTCGTGCTGGGGTGTGGTCGTGCTGGGGGGTGGTCGTGCTGGGGGGTGGTCGTGCTGGGGGGGTGTTTCGTGAAAAATGCATTCGTGCTGGGGCGTGGTCGTGCTGGGGCGTGGTCGTGCTGGGGTTTGGTCGTGCTGTGGTATGGTCGTGCTGGGGTGCGGTCGTGCTGGGGTGTGGTCTTGCTGGGGTGGGGTCGTGCTGGGGTGTGATCGTGCTGGGGTGGGGTCGTGCTGGGGTGTGGTCGTGCTGGGGTGTGGTCGTGCTTGGGTGTGGTCGTGCTGGGGTGGGGTCGTGCTGGGGTGGGGTCGTGCTGGGGTGGTGGGTCTTTGGGTGTGGTCGGTGCTGGTGTGGGGTCGTGCTGTGGGTGGGGTCGTGCTGGGGTGGTCGTTGCTGGGTCGGGTCGTGCGGGGTGTGGTCGTGCTTGGTTAGGTCCGTGTGGGTGGGGTCAGTGCTGGGGTGGCGGTCGTGCTGTGGTCTGTTCGTGTGTTTTTTTTTTTTTTTTTGTTTTGGTTGGTTGCTGCCGCACCCTGTGATTTTTATCGGATCGGTGGTTTTCCGTGCTGGTGTGGTCGTGCTGGTGTGTCTGCGGCGGTGTGGTCGTGCTGGGGAGTGGTCGTGCTGGGGTGTGGTCGTGCTGGGGGGTGGTCGTGCTGGGGGGTGGTCGTGCTGGGGGGGTGGTCGTGCTCGGGGGTGGTCGTGCTGGGGCGTGGTCGTGCTGGGGCGTGGTCGTGCTGGGGCGTGGTCGTGCTGGGGTGTGGTCGTGCTGTGGTGAGGTCGTGCTGGGGTGTGGTCGTGCTGGGGTGTGGTCTTGCTGGGGTAGGGTCGTGCTGGGGTCGGGTCGTGCTGGGGTGTGGTCGTGCTGGGGTATGGTCGTGCTGGGGTGGGGTCGTGCTGGGGTGGGGTCGTGCTGGGGTCTGGTCGTGCTTTGGTGTGGTCGTGCCTGTGTGGGTCTCCACGGGCTGGTCGTGCTTTGGTGTGGTCGTGCTGGGTATGGTCGTGCTGTGTCTAAGGTGGACAGGCGCATTTCGCTCGAGGACATCCTGCAAATTCCAGGAATCGTCATAAAACAAACGCGGGGGCAACCTCAGTCAGAATTCCTGCGGCGCGGGCGGCTTTTCCGCGTCGCGGTCGGCTCTGCAAAACCAGCGTTTCGCTCGAGACATCCTCAACAAATTCTGAAACCAAGCGTTTCGCTCGAGACATCCCAAACTCTGCAAAACCAGCGTTTCGCTCGAGACATCCTCAACAAATTCTGAAAAACAAGCGTTTCGCTCGAGACATCCTCAAACATAATTTCGCCGGCCTCCTTCGACCTCGATATTTATCAGGGAAAAATGTCGCCAGCCTCCTTCAAGTTGGGCACCGGGGACATGTTTACATAGAGAAAGAAAACCCTGGGCCCGCGCCCTTTCCGGGAAAAAACTAAGCAAAATCGGTTCCATCGGTGCGCGTTGGGCGCTACTTTCTTTTTCGGGATGCAGTTAACCTGCGGGGGCATTCCAATGTCCTCGGGGCCTGCACGCAACCCCTTGGCCAAAAAAAAACCATGGATTCTGACGATGGCCTCAGGCACCGACGACGCCGATTTCTTGTTTCTTTCTTGAATGAATGTTAGCGACAATTCAACTGAACTAGCGAAGCGCTTCATCATACGAAGCCTTTCCTAGCATTCGTAACGAACATGCAACTAGCAATTATGCGCACGCCGCCCCCGTGCCGAGATGCCCCCCGCCCCCACCCCCACCGCGCGCACGCGTCAAGTAACGACTGCATGTCCGGTAACTTCACAAGAAATTCTGACACCGCAACCTGAAACAGATCCAGACCACCCAATACCCGTTTCGATTGCACAGACTGGCCCAACGACATCCAAACAAACTGCACGATAGCACCACCGCCCACGGGTCGGCCACGCCACGATGCGTTCTCGGCGGAGGTGGCGCGCGCTGCTCCCCTGGCGCCTTTCTCAATCGAGGACTGAGAACCCTGCGGTAGCGCTTGAACTTCTCGCATTGCGCGCCCGAGGGGCCGATCACCTTGGGAACGTCAGCGAAACTGTTTCCCTTCGCCTTGTAGCGGGAGCGGAACACCGCGAAGCAGAACATGATCGACCCACGAACCCGGAAAGGAATATAGAAATGTAAGGCATTGCAACATTTCAAAGACACCTGATTGGGCGACGGGCACATGCAATGCTGAATGTATCGATGATGATGTACTGTGCCGAGGGCTGTGCTGTGCTACGCCGTGCTGAACTGCGATGTGTCATGACGCGATTGTGCTCTATATAGCGTTGTGGATCGAGTCCTCCCTGGCATCCCAGTCCTCACCGAACTGATCTGGAGCGTATGCTCGAGCTGCCTGAGCAGACGGTAGCTGCCCCAGAACTAATCGACAGCCGCGGAACGTCCCAAGGGACGCGCCAGGCGACGTGCCAGGGGACGTGCCATGGGGACGCACCGCGGGACGTGCCAAGGGGACGCGCTACGGAACGTGCCAATGGACGTGCCGCGGGACGTGCCAGGGGACGCGCCGCGCGACGTGCCAGGTGGACTCGCCACGGAACGCGCCAAGGAACGTGCCAAGGTGCATAGTTGAGTGTATCGATCTTGATGTACCGTGCCGAGGGCTGTGCTGTGCTGGGCCGTGCTGAACTGCGATGTGCCATGCCGCGATTGTGTTCTATATAGCGTTGTGGATCGAGTCCTCCCTGGCATCCGAGTCCTCACCGAACTGATCTGGAGCGTAAGCTCGAGCTGCCTGAGCAGATGGTAGCTGCCCCAGAGCTAATCGACAGAGGGAACATGCCAGGAGGACGCGCCGCGGAACGTCCCAAGGGACGCGCCAGGCGACGTGCCAGGTGACGTGCCATGGGCACGCACCGCGGGACGTGCCAAGGGGACGCGCTACGGAACGTGCCAATGGACGTGCACCGCGCGACGTGCCAGGGGGACTCGCCACGGGACGCTCCGCGGAACGTGCCAAGCAACATGCCAGGCTGCAATGCTAAAGGTATCGATATTGATGTACCGTGCCGAGGGCTGTGCTGTGCCTGGGCGACCTGGACACGTGAAAACACCCGTTTCGCTCAAGACGGTGTCAGCACATCCTCATGCTAGACATCCTCCTGGGCAACCTGGACACGTGCAAACAAGCGTCTCGCTCGAGACATCCTCAACAAATGCTCATGCTAGAAATCCGCCTGGGCGACCTGGACACGTGAAAACAAGCCTCTGGTTCGAGACATCCTCAACAAATCCTCATGCTAGACATCTGTCTGTGCCACCTGGAGGCGTGAAACCAAGCGTATCGCTCGAGACATCCTCAAGACCTGGGCACGTGAAAACAAGCAATCCACTTGAGAGATCCTCAGAATTCAGGTACCCAGGAGAGGACAATATATAACACAGCACAAGCGCTTCGCTCGAGACGTTTTCAACACCTCCTCATTCTAGACATCCGCCTTGGCGACCTGTACACGTGAAAGCAAACGTCTCGCTCGAGACATCCTCAACACATCTTCATGTTAGACATCCGCCTGGGCGACCTGGACACGTGAAACCAAGCGAATCTCTCGAGACATTCTCAACACATCCTCATGCTAGGCATCCGCCTGGGCAACCTGGACACGTGCAAACAAGCGTCTCGCTCGAGACATCCTCTACAAATGCTCATGCTAGACGTCCGCCTGGGCGACCTGGACACGTGAAAACAAGCCTCTGGTTCAAGACATCCTCAACAAATCCTCATGCTAGACATCTGTCTAGGCCACCTGGAGGCGTGAAACCAAGCGTCTCGCTCGAGACATCCTCAAGACCTGGGCACGTGAAAGCAAGCAATCCACTTGAGAGATCCTCTGAATTCAAGCACCCAGGAGAGGACAATCTATAGAACACAAAACAAGCGTTGCGCCTGAGACATCTTCAACAAATTCTGAGAAACGAGCGTTTCGCTCGAGACATCCTCAATGTTTAATTCGCCGGCCCTGCGCGACCTCGTTATTTATCGCAAAATAATTTCGCCGGCCCAAGTCGCAGGGGGGCCGGGGGGTTAACCTACTGAAAGAGAACCCTGGGCCCGCGCCCTTTCCGGGAAAAGAGTGTTCATTTCCTTTGTAGAACGTAAATTGTTCACAAATTCGCCTCGTGGGCTCTCTCCAAGACGGCCCAAGAGGCTCCGAAGACCGCCCCAAGACGGCCCAAGAGGCCCCCAAGACGGCCCCACGACGGCCCAAGATGGCCCCAAGACGGCCCAAGAGGTCCCCAAGACGGCCCAAGAAGGCTCCAAGACGGCACCAAGAGGGGCCCATGAGGGCAACCAACATGATGGACCCACGAACCCGGAAAGGGATATAGACATGTGCAGCATGGTCACGTTTTCACGATATCCAACTGGGCGACACCTCACGAAACATCCCACGAGACACCCCGCGAAACATCCTAGGAGACACCTCACGAAACAACCCACGAGACACTTCACGAAACATTCCACGAGACACCCCGTGAAACATTCCACGAGACACCCCACGAACAGGCAACCACTCAACCAGACACCCCACGAAACATTCCACGGGGGTGCGACTGGGTGTGGTCGTGCTGGGTGTGGTCGTGCTGGAGTATGGTCGTGTTGGGGTGTGGTCGTGCTGGGGTGTGGTCGTGCTGGGGGGTGGTCGTGCTTGGGGGTGGTCGTGCTAGGGGGGTGGTCGTGCTGGGGGGTGGTCGTGCTGGGGCGTGGTCGTGCTGGGGCGTGGTCGTGCTGGGGCGTGGTCGTGCTGGGGTGTGGTCGTGCTGTGGTGAGGTCGTGCTGGGGTGTGGTCGTGCTGGGGTGTGGTCTTGCTGGGGTAGGGTCGTGCTGGGGTCGGGTCGTGCTGGGTGTGGTCGTGCTGGGG